GTTATCGGGGTATGCTGGTGGACGACTAGACTTAGATGCGGAAATTATGGGGCCTATGATACCAACCTAATTTACTATAGCTGGTTTGTGAGGCCATCTATTCTAGTGAAGATGTCGACTGCTGAGACTTACACCATACGTACCACGGAATCTGGATACGGAATGGCAGGGCGGAGGAAATCCGGGCTGCGCTTTGCGCTTGTTCCCCCAAACTGGCTCTGCCCGGCGTACTGGACTGGTTGTTTCTGGTATCATGAATTATCACTCATGAGCCCGAGTTCTGGGTATGGTGGAATGCTGTAGTACGATATTGTGATGATATGGTGCCATCCCGCTTGGGCCCTCGAATATAATCACGCCGTAAATGCAAGTGGTGGGTAAGTATTTCTCCCAGCGAGGGAGAGAGGTGGGCATTGGACTAGATGGATCAAAAAAAAGTTTCCAAAAGCACCGAATCAGGAGAGAAAAAGCCTCATGTGATATCATAACTTCAAAAATACCGAGCGTGAGGGGGGAGGGTTCTCACTTGTGCGAAGCTCTCCGTTTTCCCGATTTTTCAATCAAGTATATATGATACCCGTCGGTGGGGCAGGGTCGAACTGACATTATCACCCGGCACGATACTACTGCTCCATCCTACGCTACTGCACGTACGTCCAAACATCGATGCAGCGCTATTGGGGTCTCGGTATTTTCTTGTTTCAAGGGGGAAGGTGGATGGTACGGAGGATATCATAGTGTTAGGAAGCTATACTCGTTTCCGAGGAGGAAGGGGTGGCGACTATTGAGTATGATTCGTGCCCTGTCGGGAGGAGAGGGGTGGTAAACACATAAAGGAGACTGTGTTTAGGTGAGTGTGAAAGACTTTGTGCCCAAGAAATTTGTGCCCGAGAAATTCCAATTCGGCTCCAGCACTCGGGGTCTGCTAGGGCACACTAGTGAAATATCCTGTGCTATTATATGTAAACTGGATGCACGATATCCAGCGATTTGGGTACCCCTCCAGTAGAAGCCAATTCTCCCGTGAGTGAGAAGGGACTGAAGGATGTGCGGATCCGCCTGGGGCCAACTCTAGCATGAGGGAGGAAAACAACCTTGGGAAAGAGGAAATATATATCAATGATAGATAGCTCTCCCCACTCCGCACTTCCGTTTAGAGAAATTGGGGCAACAAGGATATTAGTGCACCAGGGGGGAATGCATACTAGTTGTTTTTTTCCTACGCGGGGGTGGGAGGCGGGATATTGTCAAGCATTGCACGCACATTGATGGGCGTAGATAGTCATTTTGAATTGTAAATGGTCTTCATGTCTCAAATCTCCCCTAAGCTATTTTGCTCCTGCACGGCTTATCCTCATCGTACTAGAGATTTCCGATGCCATCGGTGGATTGGGGGAAGTGTGTTAAACTTCGTTGCTCGCCCTCATAGGTTCCAGAGAAATAAGCCCGTCGGTCCTTCAATCGAGATCGATACTCCCCTAGACACTCACCATTGCATACAACAGGGGGCAAAGAGGTTTATGTGCATCCCGGCTGTGATATGATACATCATTCAAGGCTACCACGTAATCCCTAAAGGGGAGTAGTGATAGGAGGCAAGAGTCCGCCGGCTCATTTTTATTTTATTTTTACATCGATCCCTAGCTTCTCCCTCCACCCCCTTCTGCTCCGGTGCATTGTGATATTTTTATTCATTTTTATCATGTCCTGAGGGATTAATTGTTTTTCCTAGGAGGGATCATCGAGCTTGGTAATCTAGGAAGATCCAACCTGTGGGGGGCTTTGGAAATTTGCTCTTACGGTATGGGGATATATATATATATAATTCATGATTAGAGGATCCTATTTTCGAGAGACTCGATACGCCAAACCGAGGCCGCATCCGGACGAGGTGCCCGGGTGGAGACAACAGCGAGGGGAGTTTCTATATATCTTTTTCACCCTCCTTCGCAGTGAAGCCAACCGACCAAATACTCGATATATTGGCCCTAGAGTTTCATTTAAGACACCTACCAAAGCGTAGGATAATATTACGTTACGATAAATTTACCTACACAACATACCCCTACCTACAGAGAAACTCCCAGAACCATCTCCCACTTTTCATAGAACAGCTCATCTCGCTATCCCTTCTTAGGTTTTTTCTTCCTCTGGTATTTTTTCTGGACCAGTGGATAAACTTCCTGCCCGAATACCATCATGGGGGATCACTCGCTCACAGGCAGGATTCGAGCGGTAGATTTACATAGCGAACGATACGAGCAATACCATACAGCGCTGCAGCTCACTGCGCGCTCACCGAGAGTCGTTAGCCGAGCTAGTGTAGGGGAAACACTCTAGGTCCTAGTGAGGAGAAGAGGGGTTGGGGGGTTCAAAGGGGACTACGATCCTTCAGGGGAAGAAACGAAAACCAAATTAACCCCCGACATTCAGGACGAGAATATCGTGAATCGGACTTGACTCCTTGATAGTGCGCTCCTGTGCGCGATCCCCTGTAGATGCTACAAGAGCCTCATCCAGCTTCTTGTCTGACTATCCTCTGATGTCTGCAGGTTCGCCATCTGAAATCCGTTTGTTAGGGGGAAGTTTGGTTTGTTAGGACTTTCTGCGACATGAACACCTATAGCAGGGGACATTTGCTCGTAAGCCTGCAGTGCACAGCGCTGTGTGTCGTTCGGCCACTCTTGACAAGTTGGATAGGATACAGTGCTTGTAGAATGGGAGCTAGTTCGGCGATTAAAAGACTCTATCTGTATTAGTTTTCCTTAATGGTCAGGAATGTGATGGAGGGTGCGGACAGCCCCTCAATCTCACCTTCGAGCTCAGGCTAGGAGGATAGTGGGATATGGGTATGATATTTATTTAACCATGTGCATAGTGGAAACCTATTACTACGATGCGTTAGTAGCTAGCTCTTTCGTCGTTTTTCACGCGTGGCAGAAATACTTACACCTCATACTTTTTTCTCTATATCTAGCCTTCATGTCTACACTTTAGAGGGGAGGAAAGGGGATAAAGGGAATTGTAGAGAAAAGATGAGGAACAACAAATGCACAAAGAGGACCTGCGGGTGGGGATACGGCGGGGGGTGTGGGTGTGATAGAAGTTTCAAGCAACGCCGACCTATCTCGGTACGAGGGAAGCAGTCCTCCACCCACCCCAAACTAACTCTGGATTATAACCGAAAACTGACGAATCTTGACTCGACTACATGGGAAAATGCGTACGGAGGTTTGGGCGTGTGTGGTAGATATCTGGATTCCCATTGCATTGGATTTCCTTCGACCGGGGGAGAATCCTTTAAGTAGAATTTCTGTGGAAAGCCTGAATCATCCTTTCAGGCGGGGAGATCGTAAATTGTAGGAGGGTGTCGGGCTGGAACGAGAGGAGGGATGGCAATGATATCAGTGGAGAGCTAGAGCCCGGGGCAGCAGCAGCGCCACCACCCCCGCATTGCCACACTCAACAGCCCACCGGGGCGGTGTCTGGCCTTTGTTACCTGGCTTGTCGGGGTTCACGTCGGCTCGTCCGAGTAGAATTTCCACCACTCATTCGTGCCAATTCCACGCAGCATGTGGGAGCAGTGATTCGCTGTCCTTGTTGGGGCTGGCCTCGTCCCGTCCGAGCAGTAATCCCACCACTCCCTCACGCCCATTCTTCGCAGCCCGCACGAGAGCAGTATCGCCCGTCCAGTCTTTTGGGCTGATACCACACCCTTCCGTTTCCACCAAACCCACCACGATCTCAGTTATCCTGAAGATGGATGCACAATGCAGAACCACTGAGCGGGGGAAGGTTTACCGAAATCAACGTCACGCGGGGACTGCTTCAGCGCGAGCTTCTTCGCGCAATCCGAAAGGTCGCCCCTTGCATGGATTCCCCAATGCTCGAGTACAGGGGAAAATTTTCTAGAAAGGGGTGTGTCTTGGAGATCGGGAAAGACAGCCGGTAGAAAGAGAATTGACCTGTAGGGAATCCCTCAGATGGCCCAGGCAGGTCTCTACCATTACCGAGTGAACTATACAGAACAAGTACGGAAAAGCTCTGGATGAGGCCGAAGGTATCGTACTGTTGAAGGGTAAAAAGTGGGATTAGTCAGACCGTGGAAGTCTTCTCGTCTACGAGTACTACTTGTACAACAAGCTCTTGACAATAGGTTGGCAGTGCCCCCATTGAAGGAACGCCTTCGGTATCGAGGGACCCGGTGACCCCAATTCGACTGCTAGGGCGTGGCACAGAACATCAGCCATTAATGGTCGCTCCGGGCAGGGGACCCAACAGCCTAAACTAAACCCATAACGGGCTATTATATGACGGAGAGAAAGCGAAAAAGGAAGGGTTTGTAAACGCTCCGCTCGCCTTTTCCAAGGCTGCCGGATTCTTTCCTGCTAGTGGGGTTCATAACCAATCACTCGACACATCAATTTTGATCAACTTTTGTATGATATCATTTCTGTTTCCGTGTTCGGACCAGCTAGGGTGCAACCGGTCCGGGCGCATCCAGCTCCGACCCCCTATATCCTATTCGGCCGGGCACAGGGGAGACTAGGGGGCTCTGTGATCTAGAAGGGCCACGCACTTCCTCAGCCATATCAACAGAGCAATTCGTTAATAGAACCGTTCACCCCCACTCCCCTCCGTACTATTTGCATCTCGCAAACGCTGTGGCCGACCTTCCCGCACACAATACACAGAACCTCACGGCAGAACTGGGAGGATGGCGCCAGTGAGTGGGTGTCGGTACGGTGGTAGGCACAATAGTGTTGAGAGCAGTTAGCATTTCAGATAGGTCGGGTCAACAGGGACCCCCAACTGCTCTGCACTAGCTGGCAATAATGGAATAGTTTAGAAGTGGACGGCGGATGGGTGTGGAAGTTCTAACCAAACATTCAATAGTTGTCCGCTATCAGAAACTTACTTTATTTTCAGGGGACAAAGGATATCTAATCAACTAATTTAGAGTTCTATCATAGGTACGCGCTTGATAGCCCCCGTTGAGCCTATTCACCCAGTATACCTCTCTGCCACGCCCTCCTCCACCACGAGCCTGGCCTCACCGACCGCTCATCGGCAGCCCAAACCCTCTTTCCAGCAACCCAAGTCTCAAGGACCTTCACATCTCTAATCCCCTCCTCGCCCACCGCCCAAATATCCTTATCGAGCACAATCCAATCCGCCCACCCACCCACCTTCAGTTCCCCAACCCCCTTGTCATCCATGAACCCACCCCACGCTACATTTACGCCAAATCCGCCCAGTGCTTCCTGGAGTGTAATTTTCTCTTCAGGGTACCAGCCGCATTCCGGGCAGGTATCGTTCTCCGAGCTACCGCCTCCCGGCGAACGTCTGGTCATTGCGGCGTAGATACCCGCGAAGGGAGAAGGCGGTTCAACAGGAAAATCTGAGCCCAAAATTACTGGTAGACCGGCGTCATAGAACGACTTCATCCGATATGCGCTCCTGGTAAGACGCTCGGGGCCGATGCGGGCGAGGGCGTATGCCATGTCGCTAGTGGCATGGGTAGGTTGTATAGAGGGGATAATTCCCATATTGACCAGTCTCTCCTGGTCTTCTGGGGAAATTATCTGCGCATGCTCTATTCTAAAGCGCTTTTCGCCTTGCAGTTCTCGCAGGCTGCAGGCTTCATGGTAGGAGCTTCGAGGGCAGAAGAGTTTTAGGATGTTCTCGAAGGCTGTTATGGCGGCCCGGTTCGCGCGGTCACCAATGGCGTGGATGTTCACCTGGTAACCCAGATTGTCCCATCCCTTCGCAATGGAGTAGAGGTCTTCTTCTTCGATTAGCATGGTGCCGGTCGCGTTGGGTCTGTCAGAGTACGGCGATAAGAGGGCGGCACCCCAGGATCCAAGGGCTCCATCTGTCATGTCCTTAGTCGGCTTTGCGCAGGTAATTCCACACCCCACAGAGCACATACCGGCAAATAGCTTAACAGACCGCACGCTCAATTTCCCATCCTCGCGATGGACCATTCTTACTTTACTCCCACAGATTGTATTCCGAACAGGACACTCCAGCATTGCGTAGAACCTTAGCGTCAATCTCCCCGCATCCGCAAGACTACAACCCGTCAGAAAATCCCCTCCGCACCAGAAATCAGAATGTGAATGAGCCCTACTCATTAAGCATTTCCACATCGGCTGGGAGCACACCCGCATCATGTATCCCAACAATGCCGACAGAATGCAGTGACTTCATCGCATCCTCCAGAAATCCAATCTTCTCATCGCGTCCGGGACGTGGCCAGGCACTGAATACAGGGTCCATAGCGTTATCACAGAACACCCCGACGCCCGGGTTGGTGATCACCTCACCGCCGGGGATCTCCGGGAATGGGGCTGGGAGGAGGTTGAGAACCGGTTCTGCCCCGCAAACATGATATTAATCCTTTAGCTAGTGAAAAAGGAGGGAGGGGAGCGGAGGGGAGTTATAAGGTAGACAAACCGGAAACCCAAACACAGTGACCATCAACTCTGTCCAGCATGATATACAGCCCAGACAGCTCCGGATCTTGGCTGAGTTGTTCCTAGATATCATCGCCCGTGCACATAATGGCACGTACCACCTTGTAAGTACCAGTAAACAAACCCTACATTGCCAACCGGGAGAATAGGTACGGCAATCGGCATAATGCCGCCAAAATACATCTGATCCCACCCGATCCCCCGGATCCACCTTGCCTTACCCCCATGCGTGGGATTCTTTTTCTGGTATTCTTTAATTCTCGTTCTGATTGCTAAAACCACAATTAGTATAGTATCAGGGGAAAGGAACAAAAAAGAAAAAGAAAAAAAAATGTTGAGTCGTAGTTCATACCGTCAACACTCTCCGCTCCATAAAGCTTGACACCGCTCAACATCTCCCCATACTGCAAAACATGTCCATGCCCATCCCACAACCCCGGAATCACATAGCCAGCATTCATATCCCAAGCCTCTAAGCCATTACTATCGCTGTAGCCGCTATGGTTAAAAAGGTGGAGAACCTGCCCGCTCCGGTCGGACGCCTGAATGCAGGTGAACGAATCGTTGGTTGGAGATAGAGTGTCAATACGCTGGTAGCATGTTATTCTTGAGGGCTTTTTAAAGGGCTCGAATTGCCAGATTGCGAGCGATAGCAACAGCGCAAATGCCGCCGAGACGCTGTAACTTGTTAGTAGCATCCCTATTTGTGGCAGCGTGGCGGGCTAGATTGTGGGTTATGATGCGGCGGTAGTGGTGATGATGGTGGCAGTTCGGGTCGCCCTGACTGGGAGGCCGCTGGTATATATGGGCAGATAAGTGATTGTTGGCTAGCTATCGTAACCGGTGTTGGAGCGGTTATTCGGACTGGTTTTGAGCCTAAACGCGGAGCAATTGGTTGCCATGGTTGTGGGTATTTAGGGGGGTTGTCTGGACTCTTGAGGTTTGCATTTTTGGTTATTGGCCCGCTTCTGTCCACGGGAGAATTTAGCTGCTATCATATTATATCATAATACCGGGTATGATAACGGTAGATGGCGCACAGCTCATCAGTTCTCACTCGGAATGAATTCGGGTTTGGGATCACAAGTACAATATATTGGAACCGTTGGGTTTGCGCCTTTGTTCAGTGCGCCCGTGAATCTTATCCGCGAGGGGTGATACTTGCAGTATATGTAACCCCCCGTTATGCGTTTAACCCGAGAATACCGTAATCATCCTGCGAAATCGTAATAACGTAATAACCCTACCAAGAAAACAAACTGGATGGGGTGATGGGTTGCCCAAGGGCATTCTTGGAATCGTCCCCCGCGAAAGTGAAACTATGTAAACTGCCGATTCTGACAAAATCTCCTAACGACAAACAATAAATCGGCACACGCTCTAGGATCTAAAACAGTAAGACAAGCTCCCCACCACCGATATACAACCCCAGAAACAAAAAAACAAAAACCTAGAACCAGTTTCCAATGTGAACCAATCCTTCCTCTGTTCCATCTCTGAGCTCGTTGTCCAGCAAGTCCAACCCAATCATATATTTCGCAATCTCACACCCTCTCTTCCTCTCCGCCTCGATACGCTCCCAGGTCCAGTACTCATCGCCTTCGCCCTTCTGCGTCAGTGAGCGGTCCAAATCCCTCATCAAAGCGTCCCCATCGGAGCCACCAACAGCCTCAGCCGTGGCAATCGCTTTTCCAGAAATCTCCACCAGCTCGTCATCCCTGGGCGACGTCGCCCCTGAAGCTGACGGGGTCAGCTCCCTAGCGCCAATCGGTCTATCGGGGAGCAGCCCGGATTCTCTAAACACCTCTTCAGGAGGGATCGTGACACGACCTTGCTTAAACACGTACTTGCTAATGCAAGTAGCAAAGATCTTTCTCTTCCCATCGGGGCCCCTCTTCAGCGCGGTGAAATGACTGGCGACGAACACCCATTTTGTGTCCCAGCAGAGTAGTCGCGTGACGACCTCGTACTTTTCGAATGGCTTGATTTCCCGGCGGAAGAGCGCCGAGACTCCGGCGAGTGCTACATACAGTTGCTTCCCGCTCTTGCGACGGATGGACAGGGATTTCTTGATCAGGTGGCAGACGAGGTGGGTTCTCGCGATGTCTAGGTCACTGAAGTATGTGCTGTTGGACTTGTGCATGTTCAAGTCAGATTCGTACAGCGGGGATCTCGAGCTGGTAGTAATCGGGGAGAAGAGGTCCGAACGTCCGGGAAGCACCCGTTTGCGGCGGAGCAGATGGAAGTATAAAGAGCGGTAGAAACGGAACTGTGATGATGTCCTTGCGATAAGCCGCCGTCTGTGCTGTCTTTGGGAATGTCAGGGGGAACAAG